GCTTTCTTGTACTCCCTGTCACTCTGGATCTTGGCCACATGCATTGACCACATCATCTTGGGGTCATCCTCAATGTTCCTGGCCCCAATGTGGTGGCCCAGCTGCTTGCGATACCCTTCTTTGTACTTGTACTGCAGGAAGAAAGAGTATGCACTGAGTATTATTTTAGTTTGTTTTACATTACTAGCAACCCCTGTGGCATCATCTCCAGGCAATTTTTCAACTGAAACCACAGAGAGTTTAAGTGTGAAAGTGCTCAGCTGATGACCTATGGTGTATAGCTAGAAAAGAATCCACACAATATCCTTCTGAGTCATTCTCCAAGGCTCTCCCTGGCCTATATATTTAGAGCTATAGGTCAGTATCTGAGAATAAGAAAACTCTCTAAATCATGAAAGCTATAAAGACCTGAAGTTCAATTAATACTCCCTACATTAAGTATCATTTACTCATATTCAAGCACAATGGCCAAATCATCTCAAACTACTGAAGCAATAAAATGTAACTACACAGAGACTTAAGGGGAAGACAGCAAACACTTACAGGATGCAATTTTGTATTAATGTCTAAAAGTAACAAAAAATATGCTTTTTTTAATACAGCTTTAATTTTTAAATGAAAACTTGGTTTGGGACTTCTTTCCTCATGCACATCTGAACTGTGTAGCTGCAGAGTCAGGGTCATGCAGGTGGGTAGTGCTGAGGGCAGTCCAACACCTCAGAACTCTAGGCTGTTGCACAAGGAGATGCACTCACAAGCCCAGGAGGGACCCTGCTTTGAGCTATGGCCATCACCTATCTCCCACAGCTACCCTTCCACACCACCGAGGCCTTCCCTTGCAACAGTGCATGCCCATAACTTGCATGGAGAGCTACAGATGGACAATGTGAAGAAAACCTTTGATGGACTAATGAAGGGCACTGACAGGTTATAGATCTGTTACCTCCATTCGGCTCAGTTGCAAACCCTGAATTCAACTACCACCACATGGCACCTGTTTGACAGCATGTGCCACAAGGGCTGCTGTGCACTCACATCACTGGCGATGTCCCGGGAAGCTTTGGCTGACTTGATGGGAATGGCATCTGCCCGCATGT